TTGGAGGCCATCGCTAGTAGGTTGGAGGCCATTGCTAGTAGGTTGGACGCCATCACTAGTAGGTTGGAGGCCATTGCTAGTAGGTTGGAGGCCATCGCTAGTAGGTTGGAGGCCATCGCGATTAGGTTAGAGGCCATTGCTAGTAGGTTGGAGGCCATCGCCATTAGGTTGGACGCCATTGCTACTAGGTTGGAGGCCATTGCCAGTAGGTTGTAGGTTGGAGGCCATCGCTAGTAGGTTGGAGGCCATTGCTATTATGTTGGAGGCCATGGGCCATTTCTATTATGCTGGAGGCCATCGCTAGTAGATTGGAGGCCATCGATTGCATCATCATGGTGCTTTACAGAAAGAGCGACCCTGATGTTTCCAATCACCTGCAAGCGCAAATGTGTATCAAGGAGCCTTTTGACCTTTGCCAAAGCAATGTTTTTCTGCTCAGGGAACAAATAGTGTTGATGCACCGCGACGCGTTCCTATGCACCGAGAGCAAGGAAAGTCCCTCAAAAGAACAGAACAGGTCCAAAGACAAAGAAAAGAACAGGTAGGCAACGGTCCAAAGAAAACAACATGTAGAAAACAAATGAAAACAACATGTAGTTTGGAAACTGCGACCGACGAGCACCACTTGCGGGCGAAGTGAGCCCGAACTGCCGATCGAATCATCGGAAGGTCGGTTTATAATGAACAATACCAACGATAGCCTAAGCAAACAAATTCTATAAAGGTCCAAAGAGACCACTCTATTCTTTATTGTCATTTGTTGCATGTTTCTTTGTGTTTATGTTGATTTTTTTGTATATTGTTTGTCTAGACATTTCATATTTTTTCCCTTTCTTCCTCCAGCTACTAGTAGCAAGGGCGCAGAGTATCCCTCATCGTGAGAAACAGTCCGTGATGCAAAACCCTACAGCTTCATTGATGATGCCGGAACTCAGGTGCAAGCACGCAAGAATGATGTGAAACACCTCAAAAGAGAGTTCTCTTGTCGTGAATAGTGCGTGAACTATCCTGGGTCCTTCCTAGTAGCGTTTGTAGCTAGGATAGGAGCTTACTCCCTTATTTAGTAGGCGCCTATTTAATTGAGCAAGGGCGGGCTAAGAGGCACAAAGAGAAAACACAAGTCCATGAGCATTCAGTGCTGTTTGGAGTAGCCCTGTGCTGGCTCACCCGTCGACGGGATTCGGACAGGTTGCCCGGACGGTGCCAAAGTTGCCTGTGCTGGGCTTAAAGGTGGGAAACTTGTGGACTTTCCAATTTGGAAAGATGACAGTTCAGTGAAAGACATGTTATGTGAAGATTGTTCAGTGAAAGATGACACATGTCATGTCTAGGTCGTAGGCTTCGGGTCATGTTTGAAGCGAAGACCCTGTTTTTTTTTGGGTGCAAGTGGAACCTTGAAGCATGCCAGGCCTCTCATACTGGCACCTTGGCTTGGTTCTTGTACGGCAATCCCCAATCAGAACAGTGAGTCCCCTCTCAAATGTATTGGACATAGTTCCCATCTATTTTGGAACATTCCAAGTGGCAGGAAGAGTTTGTGGGCCACAGGTCTTACAGTCAACTATCACTTGAGTCCTCTTACTATCAAGCTTTCCTAAGCTCTGGCCTTCGGCCCTGCTGGCCTCAGACTTTGCAGATTAACAGTGGAATCACATGCCCAGATTGCGCCGACTGGACCAAGGATCCAAGGCAGATGAATGACGCGAAAAAGAGGGCCTCCAAATGCTTCCATGACTGGATCACATGCTTGTATCAAGCACTTGTTCGTGCGCAGTAGGTGGATCGACAAAGCGAACATCAGCTACGTTCTTTTCTCAAAACCGTATGCAGATCAAGTGACTCAACATTTTGAACATTCAGACCCCGCAAGACGTCGGGAAAGACAATTGGAAAGGCTAGAAAACCATGGACAGACACAGTACAACAACAGTACACAACAGTTCTAGAGCGTTGGAGGCCATCGCTGCATAGCGTTCGTAGGTTCTGACGGTCGGTGATGGATGTCGGCGGCGTTCGTCTCATGGATCTGGGTGGTGCCCGTCTTCGGGGCTTGGGAGGAGTTGACTTGCACAGGAGGTTGTTGCCTTTGGAGCAGTACCTCATGGCGAAGTCAGAGCACTTTTTGTGAAGTCTCTCGACTGATACTGTCTGATTTGATCGTTTTTCGTCAAGTTTCAATAAGAGCACCGGTAACCCCACTGACCTTGCGCCCCTTGATTCTTTTGTGCCTGACGCAAAGGAAAAAATCATAGTGTTGGACAATTTGTTGGAGGCCATCGCTACTAGGAGCGATCGGACGCTACTAGGGGCTCCTGGCGTCGCTACTAGGAGCAAGGACGCTAGTAGGTTGGAGGCCATTCCTATTGGACAATTTGTTGGAGGCCTAGGTTGGAAGCCAATCGCTATTAGGACACTGACAGTATTCAGATGCGCTGAGGATCTCATGTCCGGCTTCCTCTACAGTCCCGACTTTGACAGTAGCACAGGACATTCCTTGAGCTTCAGCTATACAGGCCAGCTGGAGCTCGAGTGTTTGAACAACTCAAAGTGGGTCAGCATTTGGAATTCAGATCACCTGGACCTCTCAGAGCACTTCGCTTTGGAACGTTTCCAGAAAGCCGTCGTGGAGCTGCCGTCAGAAGCATCTGCAGTGCGCTTCAAAAGTCGACCTTTTGCCCAAATCAATCAGATCATTGCAGAGCCCTTCAACTCTTTCCGGCAATTGGCAGCTGAGGAGGGGGGCGGGGGCACCCCGCTATTCATACGCAAATTGGGTTCAGATCCACTTCAATGATGGGCCTCCAAGTAGGAGATGGCACACGGGTGTACTAGATGCAGCTGGCAAGATTTGGATCTTTGCTGGGGAGAACAGTGGACAATTGCTGAATGATTTGTGGCACTTCAACACTGCAGTTATAGAAGAAGGGTGGGCTGAAATCGATTCCGCAGATGCTTGGCCAAGCCCTCGTTTCAGCCACATGGCTGTGATGGAGGGACAGCGAATGTGGGTGTTTGGTGGCGTGGTTCAAGGTGGATTAAGCAAAGAACTCTGGAATTACGATGTGGATCTGGGCACTTGGACCCTTTGGAAAGCAGATTCCATCTCTCCCACTGCTCGTGAAAGCATGACCATGATCAGTGAGGCCAAAAGTGGACGTCTGTGGATGTTTGGAGGCTATGACGGCAGTCCAAGGAATGATCTTTGGTTCTTCGGTACCCATGATCCGACGCCCGCTTGGACCTTGGTCTCGCCTGGACCTGGGTCGCTTCCTTCGGCTCGTTTCAGTCAAGTGGCTGTGGCCGAATTCGGACGAATGTGGATCTTCGGAGGCCTAGGCTTAGAAGGCCTGCTGAAGGATGTGTGGTATGTGGACATCGGTGACTATATCAACAGTTCTTCTGGGTCTGCCACTTGGACTTCGGTCACCTCCCGATTGGAAGGCCCCACTGCTCGAGAAAGTGCTACGGCTGTGACCAGTTCTGGGGAGATGTGGCTCTTCGGAGGGATCGGCGAAGACACTGAGACGACTGATACAGATAGCGGTGAGCTTTGGGTGTTAAACCTGGGTGAAGCAGAAGAACGCACTGAAGGAGAGGAAGGAGAGGACAGGCCTAGTTGGCGTGAAGTGGACTCCGTTGGTCCCAATGGTCATCAATATCATGTCGCGGTGTTGGACACCATGGGTCGAATGTGGTGTCACAATGGTGAGCTCTGGTATTTCGACACCAACCCACTAACATCAACGAGTCAAAGCAGTTCGTCCACGAAGACAAGTGTGACCAGCACGGTTTCAACCTCCACTTGGACCTCGACTTCCACCTCAACTGGGACATCTTCGACCTCCTTGACCAGCTCGTCTTCCAGTTCCACTTCCAGCAGTTCCACTTCCAGCAGTTCCACTTCCAGCAGTTCCACTTCCAGTGCCTCTTCCAGTTCCACCAGCTCTTTCACTTCCACCAGTTCCTCATCCTCTTCTTCTCGAACTCAGACCACTTCTAGCAGCTCTTCAACGACCACTTCCTCAAGCAACAGCAGCACCACCTCCTCAAGCTCTTCAACTTCAAGCATGACGACCTCCAGCACCAGGACTTCAACACATTCATCTACAAGCTCTACCTCTTCTACCTCTCAAACAAGCACCTCAACACTTTCTAGCACAACAAAGACTAGCTCTTCAACTCTCTCAAGCACGTTCACCTCCACGGCTAGCAGCAGCAGCAGCAGCTCAAGTGTCAGTGTCACTTCAACAAGCAAGACCATGACATCGACTTCGAGCACAACCCTAGTGATTTGGCATGCAGCTTGAAGCGTAGAATCACATCCCAGAGTCCACAACTATTTTTGAAGCTCGAAAACTGTTTGATGTAAACAGTAGCAGTAATACATGCCTACGTTCACACTTTTTCTTCTCCACGCTTGGGTTTTGGTGAGAATCAACCGCAGTCGACAGTCGTAACCCAAGCATTTTGCAGCCATTGCAGGTGAAAGATCTTGCAACGGCACTTCATGATTTTCTTCTTTCCCAGGTGGAAGAGACCTTGGACAATTTGACGACAAATCAGAGTTTGATTGAAGTTTCGCCTCACAGATCTATGGCGCTGGTGACTTTTGGAAAGAGAAAACCAGAGAACGAGAAGACGGAACTGGAACCAGTGGCGGGTGTTGTGATCAAGGACTCTTCGATGCCGCTGTCAGTGCCCCGCTTTTCGTCACTGGCCGACCTGCCTGTGTTGGTTTCGATGTCGATCAGCGAAGGGTCGGTGCCAGGTGTCGATCTGCCAAAGGTCGGGTCGGCCGTGAGCACTGCGGATGGGGAAGTTCAAGTTCTTGCCGGACCATTGGTGCAAATCTCTTTGGTGGATGCAGCTGATGTGACATCTTTGGATGTGGTGAAGATGAATTTGTCAGCGCCACTCATGTTTCGAGCATCTGAAGAGCCAGTGGAAGGTGTGACATGCCGCTTTTGGACGAAGTCCGGATGGTCTGTGGAAGGAATGGGAAGCCCATCACCAGAAGAAGTGCAGGAGATATTTGCCGGTATGGATGTGACTGGCAGTTGGTGTACCACAAATCACCTTTCAGTGTTTGCCATTGTGCGACCATGTACTTTTTTGGAGTCTTTGCAAGCTGGTGAGAAGTGTTTTAACATTCCAACTTTTGTGGCCTTGCTGGGTGGCAGCGTGCTTTGCTTGTGCTGCAGCTTCTGCGGTTTCTATGCCACCATGAAATCACGGCATGTGGTTGGTGGAAAGATGGAGCTAGCAGACCTTCAAGGCTCTTCACACAAAGTGCCTTTTCACGTGAGGCGGCCAAGTAAAGAGATGAAAGAACAGCAGGATATCTCCCAACCAAAGACCTTGGTTACTTGGGAGGTGCAACCAGAAGCCTTACAGGCGACGGGCTTTTCAAAAAAGCATCGATTCCTGCAGCTCAGGACGAAGTTCTTCAGCGAGCGGAATGATGATGCGAGCTTTTTTCAGATTGTCCCGAGAAGAAGTGATTCCATTTTGACCTTCCCTGAAACGCCTGAAGTTGAAGCACCTCTTGACCACAAGCAAGGCGAACTGGGAGACCAAGGCGAGTGTCCGCCAGCTCTCAGTCCGTCAGGCCTTCAGCTCCACGAGGTTTTTACACCTGGGACCCAGGTGGAGTTCTTTTCTGAGACGCACCAGAGATGGGCACACGCTTCAATCGAAGGTCCTGGCTTCTTCACGACGTCCTCGTCGGACTCCGAACCATTGCCCATGTACAACGTTCGCCTTGGCCGCCAGATTCGCAACTGCATTGCTGTAGAGCGATTGCGCCTTCCATTCCAAAGAGGGGATCATGTTTCGGTGGAAGTGGATCAGCATTGGCAAGCTGCCATGGTCTTGGGAAAGCGGAGTTGGGCCAGTTGGCCCTTGGCGTATGAGATTCAACTGATGTCCTCTTCATCGACCTCTTCATCGACCCTTGCAGCTCGTCAGCATTTGGTGCTTCAGCTCGTCAACGAATTGCGTACGTTCTCTATTACCCTACAACATTTATTTATATTTCTCTATCATATTGATTTTAGCGGCCGGTGGGCAGAAGTTTTCTAGAAAGGATGCAGCTTTATTCATGTCGTTGGTTTTTGTCAAGTGCAAAGTGATGATGATGTGATGCAGTGATGCGATGCATCAGATTTGTGATGGTGTAAATTGATGCGTGGTGATTTCAGATTAAATTCCAACTCGCACAGGTCTTTGGATGGTTGGGTAATGTTGGGTCTCACCAAGCAGCACCGGTAAAGGCCAGCACCAATCGCATAGATTCACACAAAACAAAGCTACTAGGACTAGGGTGGAGGCCATCGCTATTGGGATGGAGGCCATCGCTGTTAGCAAGAAGCTAGCAGGTTGGAAAAACAGCAATGCAGCAACATGGCACCGCCGGTGCGGCGCCGTTCCACCGTTCTGCATGCAGCGACTTTGCAACGGCGAATGCCTTGCTCTTTGTAGTCCACACGCGTGTGAGTTTGACTGCAGTGATTGCACACAGATTGATCAAAGATGATCAATGCATTGTTTCTTGATATTCCAAAGTCAGTACAATATGTGCGCACAATCTTCATTGAGGCGACGATAGGATACATTTGTCAACATGAGCCCCAAATAGGCACAAACTGCATGGCCATAAATGGTGTCCAGTGGTTTGCAACGATTTGAATAAGTAGTTTGCAACCTCTTCCAAGTGGACGAAATGTGCCAAACCTGAATGATATATAACAGGATCACATGTGCATCGGAGCCAGTAAGAAAGCTTTCTATCTCTTTTCTGGCCTTGAAGACTGACAAGGCCTCCAAGCACATCCCCGAAGGGAATCGATCATTGGCGCAGGGGTTCTGTGGTACCAGTACAATTTGACACAAACCGACCTCTTCCACGTCCAATAGCGAGCACATGACCCGTTGGCATGATTCAGCTCGGTTTGTGTGCTGCGAAAATGGCTCCAGATCTTCGTCCTCTTTTGCAGCTGCTTTTGAGTAGATTCTGAACAACCCAGTGCTAAGGCCGCCAGTTTGCAATGTGTTTGCACCCTCACTTGGAATTTCTATCGCTTCATACCCCTTCAGCAACCAAGCTTTGAAACTCGTTTGCAGTCTGCAAGAACTTTGTGGTGCCATGTGCAAAGAGTATGACGTTGAAATACTTCAGTTTTAAATACAACGATCGCTATGCTCGGTGGCCATCGGTAGTAGGTTGGAGGCCATCGTGACAACTACAGTAACCGCAGTCGCATGAGACGAGTCAAACATCACCCACCAGCGCTCCCCAGTCATCCGAAAAACCACCCAAGCCACCAGCGCCGCACCTGTGGGACAACCCACGCTGGCACCTCATACGTTTTTAAACAAAGAACAATAATTCTGAATTGATAAAAAGAACAACAAAAAACAATTCTAGTTTCGTTTTGGATACTTGCTTCTATTTTGGAAATTGTGTTTTATGTTTCACATGCCAAGCCACCACAACCACTGTATTCAACAGCTACCCTGTTGCGCAAAATCCCGCATGTCTTCTCGCAACTTGAAAATTCTCTCATTGAAGAGTCATTGATGGTGTTCTTCTCCGGCTTCGCTTCGCTTCGCTTCGTGTTGCTTGCAGATCTTGCAGGTGGAGCCTGCAGAGAATGTTCGTGTGAGGCATCCGATCGGTGAACATGTTTTTGTTTTTCAAGGTGCCAGCAAAGGTTGGGCACCTGCAACAGTGAAAGGTACAGATGAACATGTGAACTCTTGGCCAATGGTTCCTGTGTGTTTGGAAGGAACCAGCGAGATCATTCCGGTTTTGCACAGTTTGGTTCGCTCTTCGTCCAAAATGGATGGATTTCCAACTTGAGCTAAAACGCTTTGTACGCTTATCGAATTAAAATTCTGGGCCCCATTTGACGTGGGTTCAATGTCATTGTGCAAATATGCACATGTTGCAACAATCCTCTTTTGTTGAGATCCTACGAAGACAACAACATCTTCAATTGGATCCCGAGCTGAAGAAACCAATAATTGAATGGCTTTTGACATAGAAAACGTCGAACATGGACATGTACTAGTAACATGGACATGTACTAGTAATATCATATAATATCTAGTTATAACTAGTTATTGAATAGAGCATTATTGATTGGTGTTTATACGTGATGGTTAGTTACTTTCTATTTCATTATTATTGTTCCTTTGTCTTGGAGGGGTAGGTTATTTCTATATAAAACAACGCACCGATTGGTCGTAATCGTAAACGCGCATTAACGACGATCGTAATCCCTTGTAAACGGATTTTTTATGCCCATTTTACGCATAGTATGGTTTTAGCTTTGTAGTCTTTTTATTTATTGTGTTTGGTACGATAGTTTTTATTTATCCGAAAAGCTTTCGAGAATTGCGAATAATTTTGGATTGTCGTTTAAAGGAGTGGCACGAAATTGGTCTATGTGGAATATATATATGGTTTTATGATGTCGACGATTAATATTGGAATATTAATAATAATATTACGACGACAATATAATCGTAATTTATTTTTTTTTAAATCCGATAACGATATTGATATTAAAATATATATATTGATGTACATAATAATATTGTTGCATCGATTTAGGAATTAATCGATAATAATATTATAATATTATTGATAATTGCGTAATATCGATTATTTCGTATTACGAAATCGATTATATGGGGTGGGTTCGCGAAGCTTTACTATATGTAGGTTAGAATGTATTTGATTGAAATTTTAATTTGTTTGGTTAATTTTATGTGTTCGTATTTATGTGTAATTAAATTTTAAAAATTTCGATGGTATTATTAGAGGGTGGATGTATTTGGGGAATTATACACTAGTTTAAAATGTCTATGTTAATGACAATAAATAACAATTCTTCATTTGTCTATTACCAATGTGCAACACTAGGAATAAATATTATTAGGTAAATCTCTCTTTGTTTACAATGAATATAGCATTATGAGCGAATGAAGATACAATACTATATATCTCTAGATTTAATAGCTTTCTTCTGGATTTTTGGGAAAACAGATTTCTTAAATTTATGTATTTTTATTGAAGGAAAAACATTTGAAAGAAATATTTTTATTAATATTTATAGTTTTTTTAAAATACCATGAAGATCTAGAGGAAAACTTTTGAAATGAAAATTTTATATATATATATATGTTTTTTTTTTTTTAATAGAAATAATCAAATTTAGAGGGAACCTTTTGAATTAAAAATTTGTATATAAAACAATTTTAATATAGCAATGAATATTCTAAGAGATTATTTTAAATAAATGCTATTTATTCAAAAAGATAATTTGTATTTTATTCCTAGCATTCCTAGGGCAAAAAAATATTGTAAAATATAGGGTTTTGTAACATGTGTATTCTTAAATTAACTAAATTGGAATTAAAATAGAATTATACAAATTTAAATTAGAAGACTTCAATTACGATCCTTTTAATATTGATTGTGGAATTTACTATTTATTAGATATTAGATTGCAATAAAAATCATTTCTAAATTCTCTTTAAAATTCATTGCGGAAATTAGTTCTTACAATTCGATTTTAGTTAAAGTCCTTTTCAAAATTAGTGGTGGTTTTGATTTAATATCAAATTGTATTTAAAATCGATGTAAAATTAATTATGGAAATCTATATTAAATAAACTAACATCTAATTATAAGAATTGATTTCCACCATTAACAATTAATTGAAAATTAATTTTCACAATCAATTCTAAAAGGGTCTTGATTGATATCCAATACACAAGCAATTCAATCAAATTATATTGAAAAGAATTTAAATTAAAATCTAAACAACAAGCAATTTCCACAATGATTTTGAAAAGGACATTAATTGACATTTAAATAATGCCTAATTTCTATATAATAGGATTTTAATTGAAATTTAATTCAAAATCAATTGCCACAATGATTTTGAAAAGGCATTTAATCGAAATTGAATTCCACATTCATTTTTCTATGATTAATCTTGAAGAAATGTTAATTGAAATCTAATATAAATATCAATTTCCCCAATGATTTTAATAATAATATAAATGAAATTTAGATTGTAAAAAATCTACAATTAATTTTAAATCATATTTTTAATAGAAAATTAATGATAAATCAATTTCCACCAATAATTCTGAAAGCATTTTAATTGAAACCAAATACCAAAATCAATTGAAATCCAATTTAACATCAAATTCCTCCGTTAAATTTAAATGAATCAAAAACACTGTGTTTTACAGTGATTTCTTGCAAAATCCTCTCCAAAATTGAGGTTTTGAGCTATTTTTTGAGCAATTTTGTGAGATCCAAACCTATCCCAATTTAGAGGCAATACCAAAAAAACAAAGAAAAAAAAACAAAAAAGACAATGTTTGAGACAAAATGGGGTCACTATTGGTTTTTGGATGTTGGCTGCATTTTGTGTCAAACATTGTGTTTTTTTTGTTTTTTTGGTTTATTGTTTTTTTGGTTTATTGTTTTTTGTTTTTGGTATTCCCTCTAAATTGGGATAGGTTTGGATCTCACAAAATTGATAAAAAATAGCTCAAAACCTCAATTTTGGAGAGGATTTTGCAAGAAATCACTGTAAAACACAGTGTTTTTGTATTATTTTTTGCATGAAAAACATCTCCCAGGAGCACCCGTTCTGTATTATTACGGCATTTTTTGAGAATTAAGAAAAAATGCTTGTAGAAACGGAATTGAAAAGGAAGTAATTTTTTGTAATTTTTATTGAAAAATCTTTGGATTAGTGGGATTTTTGGTGTGATTTCGAATTATAGATTTATATAAATATATTGAACAGATTGGAAAGGAATATATTTTTTATTGATAATTGGAATTGAAATTTTTATGGATATATATTAATATTTTGGAACAACTATTCGATAATAATTAAATGAATTCTTATTTTTTAAAAATACACAAAAATATTTTTAATGTCGTTGTAATATGAAAATATGGATAGAATAATACATCCAATCATTATTGAAGATATAGATATTTATTAAATATTTATAAAATATGATATTTTAGATGATATAGATTCTGATTAACCAAAGGAATGTTTGAATATTAATTTTCATATATTCTTGAACATAGATTTCTTTAATTTTAATATATATTTTATGGCGCGATTCTAAAATATTATTATTTCGTATGAATAATACCTTATATGAGGAACATATTACTTTATTGCATCGCATATACAACCTTCGATTGGTCCCATTGGACGAGACCAGTATGGTCGAAGTCGCCACCGCCATCATTAAGGAAAGAGACGCGCGACGGACGGTCGCATGGAAAGATAATATCATGAATTTTTACCTGAAATTCGATGGATGGGCTACCAATTGAGGTAATATATGCGCTTTCTGAAGTTGCCCCAACCTGAGGGTTGGTGGTTCTCATTAGCATCGTTCGTACTACGATTTCAGACGTTATAGAAATTCCTGAAGTGCTTAGAAAACTAATTCCAATTGTTTGAACAATAAATGTATTCGAGGAAGGAAGGCCAATCTCATTACTTCATATGGGTTTTATGCAGGACGTCCGTTAAGTATAGTTGTTTTTAATTTGCGTCAAGTGGTGATATTTGTGTTGAGATTTCCTATATTTAAATTAATCAAATCAATTTTTTGGGATTTCATCGTCGCAGATTTTGGCTCAACACATCATTGAATACAATGCGGGATTTTGTGAAAATAATCTTGACGTGATGCGGCCCCGTTAGCCATAGCCTTTGATTCGCTGCCGATGCTCGCTGCTTTCCAGACGGGTTTTGATCGGGAATTTCTACTAGGTCACCTAATTTGAGGCGCGTCTTTTCTCGAAACAAGAACGCGTGAAGGTGATCG